ATGTGGACCGGGGTCAGCCGCCGCTTCTTGAAGGCGCCGCTCAGCAGGCGCTCGGCGTACTGGGGGTCGATGCGCCAGAAGCCGCCCTTGCCCGGCTCGTCCTTCTCGCGCGGCACTTTGATGAAGCACTTGTTCAGGGACAGGTTGTGGCGGATGGAATTCTGGGCGCAGGACAGAGGAGGGGGGAGGGTGCTGAGCGGGGAGGAAGGGTCCGTGGCTGCCTGTGCTCCCTCCCGCCCGTCTCCTCCCCTCTTCTCTCCGTGGGGGAGGGGGAGGTGGCTCTGGGACACCAGCCACGGGGCCCCCGGAGCCAGGAGTGCCGTCGGGGGGCTTTTATTCCCTGTTGCCGGGATATCTGCCGGCTCAGTCATCCGAGCCACCCTGTCCTGCCCGCCCCCGCTCCCCTCACCCCACCACTTGCAGCCTCTGGCCGAACGCCTCAGCTCCCCCAGGGCCTGGCCTGGCCGGCCCTCTCTGTTTGTGGAGTGAGAGGGTTGGGGTGGGCGGCACGGGGTGACCTGAGGTGTGAGGAGGTGTGCCCACACGCCTGCGTGCACAGGAGTGTGTGTAGGGATGAGGTGTGGTAGGAGCCGCGGGCCAGGGCCTTGCCCCCCACGCCCCTCCTCCCACCAGGCTGTTTGGCCTCAGTTGATTATTACCCAGCAAAGAGCATAGCGCTCATTCCTGGGCCCACTTCCCGCAGTCGGGGCTTCGCAGGCTTGGGGGGCGGGCGGGGGTCTCTGCCTTCTCGCCAAGGCTGCCGAGGGCTCGCCCCAGCCTGGGCCCAAGCAAGTGAAGAGTAGCGGGCCCTGTGATGTGCGGCCTGCTGCTGCGGGGGCCCCAGGGGAGAGTCTGGGCGTCCTGGGGGCCTCTGTCCCCAACCAGGCCCCGATCCCGGACTCGCAGGGCAATGCCTGCCCCGCCTCAGATCACCATCCTGCCGCATTCGTTCCTAGTTGCGTCGTCTTATCCAAACCAGGATGGGGACAGGGGTCGGGGGCCTGGACAGCGGGGCGGATGGGTGGGCAGTGCCCCTTGGCAAGGCTGGGTGTTTACATGGCGGCCTGGCCCTGGGCTGCTCTGCGCCAGGTTCCGGAGACTGGGAGCCTGAAGCCCGAGCTGGAGGCAGAGCCCCTGTGGGAAGCACCTGGCTCAGGTAATTGTCTCCCCAGGGAGCTTGACTGAGAGGAGGGGGAGGAGTGGAGACAGGAAACTGGGGAGCGGCTGGAGTGGGGGCTGGGCAGCCACTGTAGGAAGGCCCCATACCGGCTCTCAGACACAGCTGCCTTCACACCCCACAGCACTGAACTCCCTGCCCCCCAAGCCAACTGCAACCGGGCAGGAGGCAGAGCGTGGGCCGATGCTCCAGCTTCCACGTCTGAGCCAGGTCCTGAAAACTGTCCCTGGGCAGGGCAGTGTCTAGGAATTCTAGGACTTGGGACAAAAACGTGTCCCTCGTCCATCACCACTTTCCCCCAGGGGGCTGTGTCCATGGCAAAGTCTGGCCCTGGTCTTTGGGCTGAGCCTCTTGGATGGGTGACAAGTGTTTGCCCTTTGAACTCAGCATGCTCACCCCTAAAGCCCTCTGAACAGCCTCCTTCTCTTAAGTCAAATGAGAGGCATTTCCAAGCACTGGGCTCCCCCAGGGCCTCCCTCCAGGGCCTTCCTCCCCTGGGGCCCTGGCTACTTGACCCGGATCTGAGGTGAGTGAGTCCCTGCAAGAATGGAGGAGGAGGGGGCACGGAGGAGGCTGGGAAGGAGCCGCTGCAACCCACACCTCCCCTACCTGCCAGGTGGGATCAGCGTGCCGGAAGTAGCAGAAGTTGTCTGTGATCCACTTGTAGATGGCCGACAGGGTGATCTTGGTGGCCTTGCTGGCCTGCATGGCCATGCAGATGAGCGTGGCGTACGAGTAGGGCGGCTTCACGCTCGGGTTGGTGGTGTAGTCCACGTCGTCGTGGGGCGGAGCCTGCAGCCCCGAGGGCGAGCTCCCGGACGTGCACGAGGATGT